CTTGCGCAATCATGCCGACTGTAACATGCGTATTAGAAACACCAAAAGCTGATATGAAGCGCTGATGCTGGCCCTGGACACTGCTACATAAATCAACTTCAGCGCATCGCAACTCACCACAATTGACGTTAACCCGACGGGACGGCTGTACCAAAGGAGTACATATGTAATGTTTATAAAATTGGGTAGGCACCCATGCAACCACTATTGACGTTTCACGAAGATTAGCGTCTATTTGAAAGGTAGCTCCGAGACCTGGCGTAGCTCTGTGGCAAAATGGTTCATTGCCACGCAGAATGCTTGGGTTCGATTCCAGCTGGAACCCTGGCATTTATTCTTTGCATTCATAGACTTGACGCTACTGATGTCGGGCATTTCTTAACGATCGCGCGTTAAAATTGCCCATATGTGTTCTCGTCGGTCCTGGGTATATATACTAAGTGTGAATCACCTGTGGCACATACCCGCATACCAGCCACACATATATACTTGCCCGCAGGTATGTGCCACTGTGTGAGAGGAAGTATTTGACGACGTACGCGACAGGATTGTGACATTATTCATGTCTTGACCAGCGCATCATATTCGTCAACCGACGGGAAACTGGTTGATTAACAATGTTCGTTCATAATTTCAACCTCTTATCTCCGGAGTGCCCCAGGGATCCGTTTTTGTACCGACTATATTTCTCATTAATATAAATGGTATTTTCATCAAGGTGTACATTAACAAATCCGGCTATATGCAGATGACCGCGTTTCGTACCGACCAATAAGATGTAAGGATGACTGTGCTAAGCTACAAGATGACTTGTATACGATTGAAAGATGGTGTTCACAATGACAAATGGGTGCGAATACTACTAAAATATAAGCTTATGAGATTTAACACCTTTAGTCAAATTACAGAAGAAACTTACATTTTTAATGGTGAAGCCTTAGAATGTATTGCATCAATTAAATTCTAGGTATTCGTCTCTGCACTAATTTGTCTTGGCAAATTCATGTGGATTTTGTTGTTTCTGTGGCATGCAAAACACTTGGCTTCTTCCGTCGTACGCTTCGTCAGGCTGACAGTAGTACTAAACTTCTTGCGTACACTACCATACTCCGCCCAAAACTCTAGTACCCCTCTTTTATATGGAACCCGCTCCACGTGTATCTTATCAACAAACTGGAGTCTTTGCAAAATAAGGCAGCGCGTTTTATTTCTGGTAATTATTCAGAGCAATCAAGCATCCCAAAAATAAAGTATGAACTTGGTCTCACCCCCTTGCAGACTAGAAGAAAATTGTATGCCTGTTAGCCTTTTTCATCAGCTTTTTCATCAACCAAGTACATTCTCTCAAAGACACATCGTACCCGCCAAAGAGATTTTTCCACGTATCAATCACATATGTAAGGTTGAGCAACCTTTTGCACGCACTAAACTATCACAGTTTTCATTCTTACACCTAGCTATCTCAGAATGCAATCGTTTCCCCCGTAACATAGCTGAAATAACTGACCACGCTGTATTTAAAACTGCTTTAAATGAGGAGTTTTTATAAAGGTACGTCTCAGCCTATAAGTATTGGCGATTATTCTTAACATGGAAAATGTGTATCCTAATCATGTTGTCGCGATGCCTGTATATGCAAGACACAATGTGCGTATAATTCTTGTATAACGAACGAAATGCAGTATACGTTGATGTCAATTGAGGAGAAGTGTACTGCTAGGAATTTATATTTTTGCTTCACTGTTTCTTTTTTTTTCTTACCTTGTTTTGTTTCTATTGCACTCTACATGAATTGTTATGCTCCCCCCTATGTAATGCCCACGTTGGGCCTTTAGGGTAAATAAATAAGTGAATGAGATGAATGAAATGAAGAAACCATCTTACCTTCCCATGTTAATTTTGGTTCCCGCCAAGTTAAGAGCGTGACCGCGAGAGCACCCAAACGTAAGCGGCTAGATGGATAGATACGCTCAAAGTCGACAAAGTTCGCTAAGAAATGCTGCGTGTTTAAAAATTCGGCAGATCCCACGTACCTGGGAATAGACGTTATGCGAAGCATGCGGAGGGAAGGCGACGGTGTTACAATTTTTTTATTGAGCAACACGTCACGAAGCAACGGTAAATGTATGTACAAATAATGCACGCACAGATATATGTTGGAGAGTCAAGCGTTTATATAACGAGTTTGAACTTGCGCGATGATGCCAACTGGAACATGAGTATTAGCAACACCAGAAGCCGATATGATGCGCCGATGCTCGCGAAGATAAACTTCAGCGCATGGCACCTAACAACAATTGACGTTAACCCAACGTGACGGCTGTATCAAAGGTGTATATATGTAATGTTTGTAAAATTGGGTAGGCAGCACTGCATCCACTAATGACGTTTTCGAAGATTAGCATCTATTCGAAAAGTAGTTCCGAGACCTGGTGTAGCTTTGTGGTAAAATGCTTCATTGCCACGCAGAATGCTTTGGATCGATTCCAGCTGGAGTCCTGGCATTTATTATATATATATACCTTTGTTTAGTCGACGCTAACGACGTCGGGTATTAGTTAACGCTCACGCGTTAAAATTGCCCATGTGTCTTCTCGTCGTTCCTTCTCCGCCGCGGTGAGGTACTCGGCTGAGGTACTCGGCTGCTGACCCGCAGGTTGCGGGACCGAATCCCGGCTGCGGCGGCTGCATTTCCGATGGAGGCGCAAATGCTGTAGGCCCGTGTGCTCAGATTTGGGTGCACGTTAGAGAACCCCAGGAGGTCAAAATTTCCGGAGTCCTCCATGGCGTCTCTCATAATCATATGGTGGTTTTGGGACCTGAAGCCCCACATATCAATCAAATAAATCAATCAATCTCGTCGTTCCTGGAAGTTACTAAGTGTCAATCACCTGTGGCACATACCGGCATACTAGCGGCACATACCCGGCGGTTGGTATGTGTCAATGCCTGGCGCGAAGTGTTTCACGACGTATGCGAAGGAATCGTCCCGTCATTTATGTCTTGACCAGCGCGTCATATTCGTCAAACCATCTTACCATCCCATGCTAATTTTGGTTCACGTCATGTTTAAGAGGTGACCACGAGAACACCCAAATGTAGGTTGCTAGATAGAAAGATACGGTCAAAGTCACCGAAGTTCACTAAGAAATGCTTCGCATTTGAAGACTAGTACCAGTGACACAGTGGGGCTTGAGCCCGTGTCCACTGGGTGCCAGCCCGGTAATCTGCCACTGAGCTACGCCTTTGCTTGGCACTTGTTGGCAAACTTGCCTTAAACAGGCTTGATGTCAGGAAAGCAATCGCGTTAATACGACTTATAAAACGTTTTAAAACAGTGAGAGAACGAGCAGTCGTCGCACAATGCGAACAACGTAACGAGTGGGTCGTCCAGTGCTCGTACACAAAAGCTTGTTTTTGTTCAGCTATTAACTGTGGCGCATATCCACTTCAGACCTAATTCCTCATCCTCGTCAGCCACCTTATCAACAATTGGCACAAAATTTCTCGCAATGGGGAGGAAGCAACAAAAAGGCAGGGAGGTTAACCAGAAAGACATCCGGTTGGCTACCCTACACTGGGGGATTAGGGAAGGGGACAAGAAAGACGAGAAAGAGTGAAGAGAGGAAAAAGAAAAAAAAGGGGTGGGGGAGAGACTGACAGTAATTTCACTGCATCGTGTAGAACTCTACCGCATGTCAGAGGCGTTCACACAAGCCTGTCTTTCTCAGGAAATACAGCAGGGCTTTCACTGCCTTGTGGGCTGTCGAGGCATGTGGACGTTGCTGTAATAGTGCCTGCACAGAAAGTCGCTGCATTGCGTTGGCAATAGTTTAGCAGATATCACGCTCCTCAAGAGAATGACGAAAAATTGCATAGCGAGTGCCGGCCTTCTACCCTAAAATTTTTATTATTAATGCCGTAGTGGGCATCAAGCAAATGTGCTGGCAGCAGTTACCCAATGAGTGTTAAGACAGGGCTCTGAAAGGCCGCTCTTCCAGCTTTCGATGTGACTGTACTGCGCCTTCCGCGCTGGCCCGGCGTTTTTCCATGTACCTGAACGTTATGTGACCATGAGATTGGCCTGTTTACTATATAAAATTAGAAAGGGCACCTTTGACCCGCAGTGCCAGTCACTAGAAGATGCGTAGCGTGACTGGGCCGTCATACACTGTTTATGCAGCTGCCACTGCAGCACTATCGGACGTCGAATGAGACAGGGGGACTTTTGTAAACGTCTGATATTTGTGAAAGCCTTCGCATATGCTGTGAGATTCGTGCACCTTTATTTTTGAAGTCTTTTACTTTGTACATTCTTCTAATGTTATTGATATTTTAGGGCGGAGAAACTTCTAACTTATGTGTAGTTACTGTCGTTGCCTTTTTTTTTGTCATACATTTTCATGTTTTTTATCCATTTCTATTAATTTTTTTCTTCTTAAATATTTGTTAGTGTTTATTCCTAGCGATTGCCTCGTCTGCACTGTATTAGCTTCACTTTTTTAATTCCCTTTTCTGTGTACTTCAATGTCAAATATTCTCTATGTTATTGCATATCATAATGCCTCTTTTATTATTTTGTACGCATATTCACGCTTCTTTTACGCGATCCTGCTCGTGTTTTTATTTTTATTTTTCTTTGTGTATCTTATATCAAGAGGTCCCATTGCATTGTTTACACTAAGGGACCTCTTTCTGTATACCTCTCCCTATATGTAACTCCCCACCCAATTACGCTCAGTAAACTGAAACTGAAACCACCCGATAGGGAAAACCCGAACCGAAAGGGATGTCACAAGCTTACATCCTGTGACATCCGAAAGGGTTGTCAGAGAAACCACCCGAAAGGGATGTCACGGGCTGACGTCATCACTTGGTGGGGATTTTTCGCTTCACTCATGCTGTCCCCGACCGTCGCTTTTTGCGCTTAATGGGGCCTCTATAAGGCTTTCGCTAATAATAATACCTCGACTCTCCCTTCCTTCTTTGCATTGGTGCAGGGTCCAAGTTCCTGTGCAGCCAGGTGGTTGCGCCCATTCGGAACGAGGACGGAGACATCTGCATGTTCATCGTCAACTTCGAGGATGTCACCGACGCGCCTTACAAGGCCGACGAAGAGGCCGCCGGGGGACTGGCGGTGCCGGCATCGGCAGACGACCTGGCGCCACTGCCGCAAGCGCTGGTCAGGACCTGCGGTCAGTGTGAGCCACCGTTTTAGGGGCGAAGCTCCTTAGGGCGTGGGCTGTGCGTCCCCTGTATGTAGCCACCTCTAGTTTAGTTCTTGCAGTGTTCACTAGATGGCGGTACCGTCCCCTGTATGTAGCCACCTCTAGTTTAGTTCTTGCAGTGTTCACTAGATGGCGGTACCGTCTCCTGTATGTAGCCACCTCTCGTTTAGTTCTTGTAGTGTTTACTAGATGGTGGTACTTGTAGCTGATGATGAAAAGATGCAAGATGTTATAAGCTAGAAAGCGGTACTTGTAGTTGATGAAAGACGCGAGATCTTATAAAATAGGAATGATGTCACATATGGCGCGTGTCATTGGTTGAAGGCAATCGTTCAATTTAGTGCGGCGACGTACGCTAGGGGGAGCGATGTAATAAAATCAAGTGGGCAAAATGTACAGAGGATTCATGGTTTACCAGGTTTACCTCCGGAGCTTCGCCCACTCATCATCATTCACTTCGTGGATATGGCGGCACTTTTTTTACCAATACGCTGAGTTTGCAGTATTAACTAGTTCAGCTTCTTTGACAGCCTTCTGTAAAACGCACCTTTTAAGCACCTTCTGCGATAGCCGTTGACAGGCTGTTAAGGCAGCGGATTTGGTGGACATTAACAACGAGGAACACTATAGCAAAAAAGGAGGATATAAACTACAGCTCGTCGTAAAAAATGGCATTCCGCTGCTGTATATACGGAGCATAGAATTAACATCCTTACCGCAATATAAGCCCAGAGCATCAGGGTACAAAAGACAGTTTATTCAGATACGCAGGGTAGCGACTTTACGTTGACATCCGACATCGCTAAAGTATCCCACTGTTGTATTGCGTTGAGAAATACACTATACGTGAAGCTTTTGTGTATATTACGGTAGTGGCACATTGAAGACCCAACGAAGCAACTTAAAATATAGGAGTTGGTAGCGGCAACGCAAAATGGGGAAAAAAGGAGATATAGGCGCCGTGGTCGACGTCACAGAAAGTCCTCAATGTTGTCCATACAGTGGGCTCGGGAACCGCGCATGCGTTGTTCGGTTTATCCGGTGTGATAACTTTGTCTGATAATTATCTTCATCTCTGACGCTCTAGTCAGTTTTAACGCTGCTGCCCATTAAGTCTCCACAGTGTTGGAAGCCTAGCTTGCGTGACGCTGCCCGGCCGACACGAACGGCCGTCAAATGAACTAACGTGTGCAGCCAAGTTGCGGCACGTGCTGGCCGATTAGCGTGCACGACCGAACAGAGGGCGTCGTTTATGCACGCGGGTGGGGTGTGTTTCGTATCTTTGTCACCTAAACTCTCAAGGTCGTCTGATCACAGCCACGAAAGACGCTATAGAACTGTCCAAAAAAGTTTCCTTCGGGACTTTTCTATGGGCGGTGCAAATAAGTTTTCGCTGTGTGTAGTTTGTAAAGCGCTGGGCACGTCATAATACGATTACGCCGAATACAATGCGCGCGAATATTCGTGGAGGTGGCTGACAGCCGATAGTTAGCAATAGTCGGAGCATTTTTGCGTTCGCCATCCTGCCATGTTAAAGCATACTTTCTGCGTTGTTGCCTTTTTAACAGCGAAGCTATCGAACCTTTTCGTCATCACCATGAAATGGCACGCGATCGCATCGGCTTTGTTTTCATCTTATTCTGCTACGTTCCGAAACATGTTTACCGATTTGTACGGCCTTGTAACATGATAACTGTGATTAGCGAGTATGGTACGGGATAAAAAATCACGATGCATCACGTAGTAACTGGTCACGGTACTAAAATTTTATAGCGTCGTGTAACGACTAGTCCCGTGGCTATAACAATCGCTTAACATAACGTAACAACTACTCCGTGACGAATGCTTACGTAAAATCGTGTGACTAAAAAAATCACGTAACATTTTAGTTGGGTAACTGAAATCCCGTCATCAAGTCACGACACTAAAAATCACGCAACAACTGCTCACGTGCCTAAAAATCACGCATCACATAACATCTAGTGCCATGGTTTAAATCACGCAACATTTAGTCACGTGGCTAAAAACAATGTAGGATCCCTTTGCAACTAGTCATGTGACTACAGCTCGGGCAACATCACGTAACAACTAGTCAGTTCACGTAAGGTCACGTGACACGTTCCCGCCCAAAACCACGTAGCAACTAGTCACGTGATTGAAGGTACGTAACATCTAGCCACGCGTCTAAAATGTGTCACGTGACTAAGATAAATTTTGTAACAGCTATTCTCGTAATTCGTTCCCGACAAGACTGTTCCCGATAGTCCCCTTGCTTATTCCCACCAAATCCACGTAACTCGTGTGCTGCTTGTGGAACTGACGACGGAAACCGGAGAAAAATAGCCAATCTTAGGCGTACTACTCCGTTCTACTAGCGAAAACTTTGCATTTCTGGCAGAACCTTGGCATTACAGCTACGGCGTTGATATTCTAACAATACACGTGCCTCCTAGGAAAAGCTTCAAGTCGAACACTAGCTCAGCTGTTATTTCCGGCCTTGTGCTACTGCTGCAAGCTGCGCACATCCTCCTCCCACCTCTCTCTTTTCTGTTTATGTAACGTTCCAAGCAGCTCAGACGCGAAGTGTCCAACCGTTTGGTTTGTTGAAACGCCAACAGCACATGTTTAGTGGAGCAGTAATTGAGTTCAGCATGATTCGTACCGTTTTGTCGTATTTTTCAATATCGGCATTTCTTTCTGAAGCAAAACTGAATTATTGGTTTTCTTGATAACTTCGTGCTGAATGGATGTATGCTTTTTTTTTCCTGAACACCCCTCCACATGTGGTCATCAGTGTAACGAATCTGCATTTACATATTTCAATAGCAAGCGTTAAGTATAGTGAACAGTGAACTTTCAATTGAACAAACGAAGGTTTAAATGAATATTTCAGGATTACGAACTTTAAGAAAATCACTGACGGTTTTTATGCATTCTATGCTAAAATCTTGCAGCTAAACGAATTTTTTTTAACGTGAATATTTCAGTTGAGCGGATTTGATCAGCGGAGCCTGACTCATTCTTTAGATCAATGAAGTTTTGTGCTTTTTAGCACTGGTGCAGTTGATGAGCACCGCTCCCAAACTGCCCATTCATCGTCAGTTGTGGCTGGAGCATACATAGGTGGCGGTACAACATCGCTTGTGCATACAGTCCCATCGAGTAAAAGCGGCCGGGCGGCTGCCGAAAACGTCACTAGCCCGAACTAACTTCGTAAATTGTTTCCGATGTTCGTCGGGAACCAAAGATGAGTGCGACAAGTTCTAATCACTGAGACAACGTTAGAAATCTGTATCTCTAGCCGATGCTGCAGGATATAGTACAAAGTTTCGTGATTTTGACTTTTTCGAGATTTCGATATTCGGAAGTTTTGAAATTTATGGGCACTGACTCTGGTAGTGCATGCAAACGTATAGACTGTCCGCACAATTTTGTCTTTTCTTGCGCTTTAAGGGTGCCATTCCAGATCAAATTTCAGAATTCTTTTCAAGTTCCGAGTTCTAGTCAACATTCAGTTTAGTGAACTTCCAGTTAAGTGAACTTATATTTCAGTCTCTTGTAGTTCAGTCAAGTGAGAATTAACTGCAAACGTATCCGATGCTGTCTATCTGCTCGTCATTCTCCGTGTGAACACGTCATATAGAAACGACCTCGTCATGGCGGCACCAAAGCTATGCCGTTCCGGGTTCACACGAAGCACATGTTATACGCTATAGCCGTTTCCTGTATACCTATATACACGTTAACTTGAAGAGCCCCGTGTTTAACGGACCGTCCCGTTTCAGCTCGGGCAGCGGGTCGGAGCCGTTCCCTGCGGCTGCGTATGCCGGGTAGCCGGAGGACGTCGTTCGCGCTCTCCAAGTCCACGACCACTGAAGAGGACGATGCGGCGCCGGAGTCCATGCGTGCCCTGGTCGTGTCCTCGTCGGACACGCCTGAGCAGCAGCCCACCACAACGGTGGTCACGCGGCCAACCAAGGCGGTCGCTGTGTTGGCGCCCTACGAACAGCGCGCCTTGGACAAGGGGGCTCCGCTGCACCGCACCGGTACGCAGCTCTCGTGTTCACTCTCATCTACCCTTGTCACTAGCGTGTGGGTGATTGCGTGCAGTGCTGTAAGTGCGTTTGTCATGGCACTCGTGAGCGCTGCTCCTTTGGCATTTGGTGTGACTACCGTGGCACAACCGTGTTGTCTTACTCACTCACTAACCGACTCGATCAATTAGTAACTCAAGTAAATAATTAGCCGACCAACGCAACTCTTGTGTTGACTCTCACCCACTCTTGTCACATGCGTGTGGGTTATTGCGTGCAGTGCTGTAAGTGCGTTTGTCAGGGCACTCGTGAACGCTACTCCTTTAGCATTTGGTGTGGCTACCATGGCACAACACTCTGTATTGTCTCACTCACATACTAATTGACTCGATCAATTAGTAACCCGAGTAACTAATTAGCTGACCATCGGCGAGATTACCAAAGTCTTGTATAAAAGAACTATTAAAGAATGTACAAACAAAATGTGTCTTTAAAGTGGAAACTCTATCGTCGTGCACAACTGCAGTAAATAAGATAAAAATTTAGCAACACAGTCGTTTTATTTACGATGCCATTTGTTTGAAAGAAGGAAAATATACGGTTCCTTAAACGAGTTCCTTAGAATGTACATGGAATAGTATATAGGTTACTTGGTCTAATCTTTCGGAAGTCGCTTACCTCATCCCAGCTACGGTATGACTGAAATACTGCAGAGATGATTCCTATTCATAAATCAGGAGATCAATTATTCGTTTCAAATTACCGGCCGATATCCCTCACTAGCAGTTCATGTGAGCTACTATATATAGCATATCATTTTAAAACACCAAACTGTTTCCTTCGAAGAAATTAAAACTTTGTTTCCTAACCGACACGGACTTCGCAGTGAATTGTCCACTGTTACACAGCTAACGGAGGTAGTTCATGATCTCGGTAGTACCATTAATAATCGCGGCCGAACAGATATGATTTTACTAGATTTTTCTAATGCTTTTGAATGTGTGTGTCATAGCAATATACTAGTTAAGTTCAAAATGATGATAGTAGAGGGATTGATGTTGTCTTGTATAAAAGGTTACGCTCAAAGGCGCCGAAGTTCGCTAAATGATTCGCATTAAAAAAAATTCACTGCTGTGGCGGTTATACGTAAGCCTAATTCATTGCGATTCCGTTACGCTATTCATGGCTCACCACTCACTAACGTTGTGCGGCGTAAGTAGTTAGGCATTACATTAACACCTGACCTGATATGGCATATACATATAGTTAACATCACTGTGGTCACACTGCGTAAACTTTTCTACCTAGAAAGACGTCTGAGAAATGCACCTGCGCCACCAACACTTTCGGCATACATTATTTTTGTAAAACCAGTATTAGTATGTGCCAACGTATACGTTGGCATATTAGAGGCAGCACAACGCAAAGACATACGGTTTGTGCACAACAAGTTCAAACGCACAGATTCCTGCACTAACCTATTGACTTCTTCTGGCATCAAAAAAGAAAAAAAAAACTAAGCACTAGGGCGAAAAGGGCACCCCTGAGGTTCTTGTATTAGTTGATACATGATTACTACAAGGCGGATGTGTCTAAGAACATCACATTTTCACAGGCGCGCCTTACTCGTCAGAGGCACCAGTACATTTTGGAAGAATATTCCTCAAACAGCGACGTCTTTGGGAAATAGTTTTTCCCATTTACAATACGCCAATAGAATAAACTAACCCGCCACGGTGGTCTAGGGGCTAAGATACTCGAATGCTGACCCGCAGGTGGCGGGATCGAATCCAGGCAGCGGTTGCTGCATTTTCGATGGAGGCGAAAATGATGCAGGCTCATGTGCTCAGATTTGGATGCACGTTAGGGAACCCCAGGTGTACTCTAAAAAAGTTATGCGGAGTAACTGCGCAGTAACCCCCGAAGAGGATTCTTCGCTCCTCCTAAAGGCGGAATGCGCGCAAAAGATTGCACACAACACGACACTTTCACACAACACACACAACACTTTCTTCGTTGCGGAGTAAAGCGCCCGCTTTTTGAAGTAACTGCAGGAATGTTCGCGCCGTGTGCAAACGACCCATTTGTGCCTACACAAGCCTGTTTCCTTTCAGACCGTGCCGTAGCGTGGTGTGTAGCAGTTAGTGTACGCGCATGCTGACTGAGTGATCGTAACTTCGAATCCCGGGTGTTTCCTCCAATTTTTTTTCGAAATTTATTTTTGAATGTGGTGCTTGCACATTGATTGTAGATCTATAATCAAATGCCAGCACGCATTTCGTAAGGCTGGTCACGTCAACCAAAAACAGATTTTTCTTTTGCTAAATGTTGCTTCTGTGGGGTGTAACCGTGAGAGCGTGGCTACTCCTTCGCAGTTACTCCTGAAATGATGCAATGGGTGTAACAAGTTAGTTACTCCCCTAAAGGAGCAACCTCGATACCCTTTTTTCCTCATTAGTTTTTTAGAGGGTGGTCGAAATTTCCAGAGCCCTCCACTACGGCGTCTCTCATAATCATATGGCGGTTTTGGGATGTTAAACTCCACATGTAAATGAATGAATGAATGAATCAATCAATCAATCAATCAATCGATCAATCAATCAATCAATAGAATAAACTAAATGGAAGTGGTACTAATGCCGAAACACTATCAGCATTCAGCACCATATTGGAAACCATGCGTAACATACAATAGTACGTGAATGCCTCGCATAAATTTGTTGTTTTCCCCTTTCATTTCTGCACAAGGCTGTGTAGTAGGCCAGACAGTGCTTGGTCAGGCCTGCCTTTCCGCTTTCGTGCGGTAAAGCGAAGATAAGCTTTTCTTTGTTCGGTGTATCGCTGAAGTACCTGGCTTGCTGTGCGCAAGTCAGCCGTTTCTGGAACGTGGTGCTGGAAAACTGCGCACATTTTACATTGGTTCACCGAGGTTTGTTCGCCTCTCATGACATGGCACATACAGCAAAATTGGGTGCCTTTGAAATTCTTGCTTTTCGTTTGTCTTTTAGATGCGGAGCATCTAATACTCGAGGCTTGTAGTGCGGCGCCGTCCGCAAGCTTCCTCCTCCTTCTTCCACCATCTGTGCATCCCTTCCTCCTCTACACACCGCGCGCGCTTCACTCCTCCACCATCTGTGCACCCTTCCTCCTCTACACACCGCGTGCGCTTCTCCTCTTCACGAACATTCGCTAGCCGTATAATGTAGCGCGCATGCGCCGTCACGCTTCGAGAACATCGGCAGCTGACGCGCGCGCATGCGCCGTCGCGCTTCGAGAACATCGGCAGCTGACGCGCGCGCATGCGCCGTTGCGCTTCTCCCCCTTCTCGAACATTCGACAGCTGACAGTGCATGCGCCGTCGCGCTGTATATATACTCAAGGTCATCGCTCGCTCGCTCAGTTGCCGCTCGTCGGTTGGTTTGTACGGCGCGTCGACGTCCAAGGTCGCGGTGAAATGAATTCCAACGAATCCACAAACACAATGATCGACGTCCCTTTGACCAGCGCCGCCCTTTCGCATACGTGTGTACGTGTTCACTCATTTAACACCCCCTCCTACAACCACGTTAACCAATTTAGCCATCGACCCAAGTAAGTCGCAATTTAACACCCCATTTCACAACCACGTTAACCAATTTAGCCATCGACCCAAGTAAGTCGCACTTTAACACCCCGTTAACCAATTATATGCTCCGCATCCTCCTCAGTGTTCCCCCGAGGGAAGCTGTGGGCAATTTTTTGTTTCTCGCTTTTTCCTGGCACAAATAAAACGCGGTACAATTTGCCTGACGCATCATTGTTCGACTGAATTTGTAGATGCGCTAAATAATACACACATATTCTTGCACGCTGCGTGAAAAAATTGTTATGAATACTTCTTTGTTCATTTGTACTGTATAACGAAGTAATTGTTCCTTGTATTGTGTTGTCAACTAAAAGTGTATATGTGATTTGGAATGTTATTACTTTTTCTTGAATATTATGTACACAAAGTGGTTCTAAGAGAGAAAAGAAGGGAAAAGTGAGCCCCGTAACTGTCTGCTACAGCGAGCGGCACCTCAACAGTAGCTCACAAGGGATGGGGGTGAGGAGGGATTAAAAGAATAGGAATAAAGGTGTAGAGAGAGAGAAAAAGAGGCATGAGGTGGTAAGCGAGAGAGCGACGACATATCGAGGGGATAGGTGAAATAAGAAAGATAGAAACACGGTCACAGGAGTCCCGAGGACGGGACACCACTTGCGAGGGCTCTTGTCGGCGTCAGGAGGTGGCGCAGAGCAAGTCCAGTTGGTTATAGCTACACTGTCGTCGGAGGTCGGCGTCAGGAGATGACGTAGGGCGAACCCAGTCGGCCAGAGCTGCGCTGACGTCGGAGATCGCGAGGGCACAGCCGGTCGGCACGGAATCCAGCGAGCTAGTCGAATATCATGTACGTTTTGCCCTTTGTATAGTGACTCGGTGGTTGACACTTTTGAAAATAAGTAAAACATTTAAAGTAAACAAAACTTACAAGAAACGAGCCGTGCTACGACCCACATCGGCACACGACGCACACTATCCCCCAGCTTCCGGCACGCAAGCCGATTTCTACGCGCAGCGCTTGGGCTCTAGGCACATTGCGTAGTCCCTTATCAAGTCACGTGTCGCAGCGGCACGTGGCGTCGTCGTGGAACATTACAATAGCAATGAAAGAGGGAGAGAAAAAGAAAGAAAAACAAATAAAGAGAAGGGGGAGTAAAAAAAGAAATTCGTTGAGCTTTTGCTTGCGTTCCTTAGCTGCCTAGACTCAGCGCAGTTCCTTATCAAGCCACGTGTTGTAGGGCATGTGACGTTGGGGGAGGGGGGGGACCCGCAATACCAATTAAAAAGAAAAAAAGAAAGAAATTTGTTGGAAATTTTTTTGCGTTAAAGGGATCATCGGTTCGGGAGTATTTTCTATTAGCGTCTTCGTAGTCGTGTATTCACCCGTATCTGCTAAAATATTGAGCACCTCGAAGCACTTGAACTCACTTCGGTGGTCGGTCGTAGTGTTAGGCTTAATGCGTCCCTTGGCCACCTAAACTATTCCCGCTGTTCGATCTGGACCGCCGAGTAGTAAGAAATTCATGACTCCCTTGCGGGATCTTGCGACCATTATACGGTGCTAACTTTTACACTCGCCGATTCCGGTCCGGTAAAGAGGCAACTCCATAATAGTGCGACAAATGATTTCCACCATCCTTATGTGTCATAAGGCGTCTGTATGCCAGACCGGGAGTGTAGCGACGCTGGCCAATGCAATATTTGTTAGGATTTCGAGTCCAAAAACCACGCCCCGAAACCCATAACCATGTTGTCATGACAGAGCCGTATAGCGGAGCACTGAGGATATTTACACCACCTGCGGTTCTGTAACGCGCGCATAAATAAAAGCACACGGGCTTCTACACTCTGTTTCACCACCTTGATTCAGCACTATACTCGGGGACGATTTTTTGTGGCAATGAAGGGAAGGCTACGAAGCCAAAGTGGGCGTGTGCCACCGCTGTAGAATAGTGCCACAAATACGCCCGCGTTTCTCGCGTGAAAATAATGAAAAAGGACATTATTTTCTACTGGGTGCTGTTTATTAGGAGACGCTGCACGAACCGAGGAAATATTCATATTTTTCGTTGCTTTCTGTAGAGTCGCTTCGCGTTTTTGCGCGTCCAAAAACATCGCACGTTTTACGTGCGCCCCGCAGTCACAATGGCGTCTCGTGTCGCCCACCAGCTCATAGAGTTTCCTAAAATTAACTAGAGGGGACTCTGGCGCTGCGATCGTTCAGCGACCATAGGAATGATGGGTAGTACACACATTTGTCTAGTCTTCGTACTTGCGGGCGGCGAATCGTACTTGCGGCTTCGTTCATTGCTGTGTTTCGGTTTTGTTTTGAAATAAAGATTCAAACCTTTTGAACTTCGTGACTCAGTTTGGAAAGGTAAGGCTAAAATAATGAGGTGGTGAAGCACAATCGCTGAACATTTGCTGATTTTTGTTTCGTGAGAAAGCAGCTCCAAGCCACACGAACACACACGCAGCCAAAATCAGGCCAGAAGTACGAAGTTTAGACAACAGTGTGTACTACTCATCATTCCCATGCTCGCTGAAGCGCCGTGCGTTGCAACTCCCTTAGACACTAGCGCCAGAGTTCCCTCAAGTGTATATTAAGACACTCGATGCTCCAGCTATTCCTACTACTCGCCGATGGTGCTTGTGTCGAACCCCACTCACAAATAACTGTGCAAGCAAACATATCAAATTGTGCGCAGTGGGATTACCTGAACACGGCCGTCATTTGAAAACGCGAGCCGAATGGGACTACTTCGTGGAGGGGTACAGGAGCAGCCCTTCGTTGCTACAGAAAGTAGAGAAAGTTGTCCCCGAGAATAGGTTGTTGAATTTCCCGAGCCCTCCACTAGGCCGTTTTTCATATTTATATCTTGGTTTTGGGTGCGTAAGATCATAGATATTATTATTATTATTATTATTATTATTATTATTATTATTATTATTATTATTATTATTATTATTATTATTATTATTATTATATTATTATTATTATTATTATTATTATTATTATTTCCAGGTGTGACATGAATAAGGGCCCCTCTAGACTACTTTCTGCGGCTCTTTCTCAGCCTTCTCCATTTATTAAATGTCTGTGTAATCGAAGATCGGCAAGTCCAATTGAATGATGATTGATTGATTGATATGTGGGGTTTAACGTCAGGAGAACAAAGCAGGCTTCATGTTTTGGCTAGCTTCCCTGACTTTATATAATACTTCATCTCTCTCACTAAAGCATACGACGTCCTAATAGGGATGGTTGGTCTGCTACAGGCATAAATTGTACAACATAGATGCCTAATATGCCATAGACAAAGTGCCGGCTGTGTAGGAACAAGTTCGCTACGTTAAACATATTCTGACCGTATGAATCGTTATCAAGTTGAACCCTTCGTTAAAGCGAAGGAGCAGGTGCGCCAAAAGTTAGTTCCGTATATTCGATAATCGTTGTAACAGTACGTCAACGTTGCATTCAACAAATTGGTAATCTGACTAGGGACAAAATCGTAGATATGAACATGAATTGTTGTATGCTTTAAAATAGCTAAAGAGACAATCGTGATTATCGATTATCGTTGTGGCATTAACATAGATTCATGCACTGGTGCAACCATATGTAGTGTTTGCAGCAACTTTGTTGAGAACTGAGGCTAACGCATGGCCTGCGTCTTGTCGGCCCTTGAGGGGCCCCCGAGAACCCTTGCTGGATGACGCGTAGATGATGTTGAGGAATCGATTCATATGTGATTGATTTGTGGGGTTTAACGTCCCAAAACCACCGTATGATTATGAGAGACGCCGTAGTGAAGGGCTCCGGAAATTTCAACCACCTGGGGTTCTTTAACGTGCACCCAAATTTGAGCACACGGGCCTACAGCACTTCCGCCTCCATCGGAAATGCAGCCGCCGCAGCCGGGATTCGATTCCGCGGCCTGCGGGTCAGCAGCCGAGTACCTTAGCCACTAGACCACCGTGGAGGGGCGATGTTGAGGAATCAGCTGTCCAGCCAGCCTCAGCTTAATCTGGGGAGACGCCATTTTTCGTTGCGTATAGCCACATGTGTCTAAAGAGGTGCATGAGCCCTGTGGTGCAGGTATCGTCTGAATATGTTCCTGAATATCTTCTTCTGAGATGAACGGGACTGGCGAAGGCCCGTGTTTGTAACTCCCTCAAATTTACCACTTGGGCTCTGACTGGTCCGGGGTTTGAGGGTGCATAAACACGCTTGAATTTTCAAAGGAAATTTTGTAATGTGACAGTATCTGGTCATTGCTTTATTTCCAACTTTGTGCTACTGGTCTAACGCGCGTTCTTTTCTTTTTTAAGGTGAACGAAATGTACCCGATGGCTCTCTCGTTCACGGTTTCGATATAAAAAGAATAAACGTCACTTAAACAAAATGTGACCAACCAAAGCTCATATTTAGTTCGCTACGATCAATAATTCACTATAACAGTGTTCACCGTAATATGCTTTAACAGTATCTCGCGTTCTTACATCTACGTCGTGCGCAGCCAACAGCGTGGGCAGCCGAGCGCTTCCAAACGCGTCCTCCGAGTCGGACCTGGGCCGCTACGCTACTCTGACAGGCCAGACGAGGGCAAAGTCTCCGTCCCTGAGTCAGGTGACGGTGGACCCCCGCAAGGACAACTCGCACTCGTCCACGGCCTCCAAGCTGGTCCTCAAGGAGGTCCAGTCGCACAGCTTCAAGCAGCACGTCGGAGAGAAGGTGGCCCAGGTGAGCGCTTTGCGAACCGCCGGGCGGGCAGATTTGGCAAATGCGAAGACTTTGTTTTCAAGTATTGTGTGCCAGATATTTAAAGTCCAACTAAAACAAAGCTCCCTTCCCTAAATTTGTTGAAAGTGAGTATACCATAAATCACTGTTCGAAAAGCTCGAAGGAATGCTTAGGCTCGTTCACACTTGCGGTTATAGACAGGTCGCACTACCAAGTTCATCGTAAAGCGCCACTAATAGCCTCTTTGTACGCAAAGCAACTACTTTGGGGGCGCTATTCTGAACATTGTCGAATTCCAACATGCTGTCAGATTCCGCCATTATTCGATGCTGATTGGCCAAGTGAGCTGCTATGATCTCTCTGATTGGCTTAAAATGCCGCCGTTACGAAATTTGACAACATGGCGGAATCAGCCAGTGTCCAGAATAGCACACCGGGTCAGCCGCGCTACCGAAGTCGCAAACTGCTGAACCAATCACATGCGCAGGAACCGGACATCAACTCCTTTTACCGCGAACAGATGGGAACCGCGACGGTGCATGCGGCGACGGATACCTGTCGCACGCAGGTGTAAACATAAGTCGTCATGAGCCGCTTTTTGGCCGCCAGTCACAAGTTCACACCAAAGACCGGTGCTAGTCGAAGGTGTGAAGGTTCCTTTAATGGTGTAAAGTTTGCGCAATAGACGCCTTCAAACACCACCGAAACAGACGACGCGTGCCCCTGGTGGTCGTCGCTATGGCGTTGGTACAGAAACGCCGCCTCCGCGATGCTTTAGCGTCTCCTTATCTCGGAGGTCATGCCCTATAGTCGTGCGTCATTTTCGTCGAGGGGCAATGGCGGCGTTATTTTCCCTGAATTTCACTGAAATTTCGCTGTTAACAACGGCACGTGTTTAACGTTCCACTCGCGTTTTAAAACGTCAAATTTTAGCTTTTCCTATTCTGTTTCTATCCTATTTGTAACTAAGCTTTCTGCATGGTATAGTGAAGTCAATTTTCAAGGAGAACACAGTGCGTAGCATAGCGTTAAAAAATAGTTGCAGTTTCTCTCTGTTTACTTTAGCATGGGAAGCGTTTTCTTCGGTCCTGCCTGCTTGAATAGCGTCATGCGTTAATGTTCACTTTCCTATGGTTAGTGGCTTATCTCTGCCGCATTGAAAACAAACAAAGATTGTTTTCATTTGTGCTTTACTTAACTCGCATATGTCATCACAGGTGTGCGCACTGGGAGGGGGAGGAGAAATCGCCTTTTTTCGGGTCACATAAGAAAGGGTTGGGGTCATGAACTTCGCCCCGTGCATTGACTTGTTAGAGGAGTTGTTGCGGCGAAGCATCCCCCTCCCCTCTTGAAGGGGAACCCCGAGCGTTAGTATGTATGTCTTTAACGTTTCCGCAATTACCAAACACATGCTCTTGGATGACGTTGCTGTGCCAAGAAGAGATCACCGAACACTTAATTTTTGTTGTATTCAAGGAAGGGGTTGTGTAGAGTTGCTATCACCTGCTGGTGGTTCGTCGGCTACATCACTCCCTGAAGCGTAGAAAAAGAAAGCGTGGCACAATGAATAATGCAGCCGTAGCGTTATGCGATAGTCAATCGAGTGATATTGACAAATAGTAAATTACGACATGGACTACGTTCGTTCAAGCCTGGTTGAGAAATACACATGTCAAAAATGGAGGCAAAAAACTAACAAAAAATGCAACGAATAAACATTGTAGACACCCGTTAAAAAAAAAGAAGTAACTTACCTGGGTGTTTGTCCTGTAGAAGTCGTAATTATGAAGCAACAGATGTAATATAGATGGTTGCTCGTGTTCGAAATGCTGGAATTCATACATGTGCATGTATAATGATGACTGAAGAAGGCGAGTGATACATATATAGCGTGCCTCAGCTATCCTTAGCCAGAGTTTAAAAATATGCCAACACACGCAATTACGACGTGATCAAATGCATGTTGCTGACCGTTCCCTGGAGTTATTTAGACTATTTTTTGTGTTTTAAAATAGTGTTTAATTAGATATGTTTGATTAGATAACTTCTGAAGGAACAAAGATTGATAAATAATTTCAATGGGAAAGTTGTAGATCGGTTCACAAAACGTGATTAGAAAGCTTCGAACTTTATATCTGTTCTGTATTAGTGTTTTTCTGCTAATTACAAATGGCTGCGAAATAAAAAAAAATACCACGTGACAAACCCGCTCTCGAGCCAGTGCACACGGTGATTCTAGCGCTCCCTAACGTTTCGCATGTATAAGAACGACCATATAGCCCCGCCGCGGTGGTCTAGTGGCTAAGGTACTCGGCTGCTGACCCGCAGGGCGCGGGTTCGAATCCCGGCTGCGGCGGCTGCATTTCCGATGGAGGCGGAAATGTTGTAGGCCCGTGTACTCAGATTTGGGTGCACGTTAAAGAACCCCAGGTGGTCTAAATTTCCTGAGCCCTCCACTACGGCGTCTCTCATAATCATATGGTGGTTTTGGGACGTTAAACCCCACATATCAATCAAGAACGACCATAGCATTTGCCCCATTGTGCTGTCTCGACAGTGTCGCAACGATAGTGCTGGCTTTGCGACGAACACGTTTTTCTATCGGCCACGAAAGCGATAACCGCTGTCACTGCTTATCGCTGTCTTGAACCGTTGCGAGGGATGCGTATCGTTCGTACGCGGAACGTTATGGAGCACCAGAATCGCGGCGCGGGACCTTAGGCGCGCGTATAGGTGCGCCAGTGGGTTTGTCACGTGGTATTCTTTTGTATTTCGCGGGCATATGTATTTAGCAGAAAAACACTAATAATTACCAGATATAAAGACCATAACTTCCTAATCGGACGTTTTGCAAACCAATCTACAACTCTCTCATTCAAACTTCTGTCCATCTTCATTCACTCAAAAGTTGTTCAATTAAACAGATCTAATTAAACAATATTTTAGAACACAAAAATAGTCTGAGTAACTCCAGGCAACGGTCAGAAACATGCATTTGGTCGCGTCGTAATTGTGTGTGTCGGCATATTTTTAAACTCTGGCTAAAGATAACTGGGGCACCCTCTATAGCAATTAGCCGAAACTGGTAAATAGGCTGAGAGGCTACAGACATAGCAGTTGGGGACATTCGAGTATTTCATACAGGGAACGCAGCGCCCTCTGAAGTTGCATATTTAGAATTCCCGCGATGGTGCGGACAAAACACACGAACTTTGTGCAATCTATTTCAAAGCTTCGTCGTGTGAAAGGGGTGAAGGAAAGGTGACGGGGCAAAAATAGGTTTTCGATCCATATAGGTTTTCATATTTTGCGCGAATTTGATAGACATTATCTAAAAATGCTGTGTCGCGGTTTAAGTTATTACTTATGGGGATGCAGGCGAATGCTTATGATCGCCGGCGTGTTTATGCTTACCATATTTGGTTTCTTTCTCTGGCCTTGTTTTTAGGACAACTGTGTTTATATAACACTGTCTATTTTAATACGCTATATGAAAGCGCAGTCTTTGGTGGTATGGGAAACCCTCTGAGTGTTTGTAGTCGACAGTGTGATGTTTTCATTTTCAGAACAGCTTTTTTTTTTTTAGCAAGAATGGCATTTCCGACGGGGACGGATCAACTCTCTTACATAAAATATAGTTGTTTATAATTTGAAGCAGTTCACACAAGAAAGAGGACTCTTATTACTTCAGAATTTGTTAAAATGATAACGAATATATACCAAACCATTCATCGTTGGTTAATTGTGAAGATTTCTCGCTGTCCTTGACAAGCGGGAAAGGTATATTGGAGATTCCGGTAGGCGTCTGAACGACAGGCCCAGAGAGCACGAGAATTTAGTCGGGAAGGCCGCTTGTCGATGCTCTGCAGGAGTTGTTCCTTAGAACCACTTTTCAGGCAGTGCTCGGCAATCAGAAAGGCAACGAATAGGCTGACACGCGAAGATATAGAAGCATACAAAATTGATCGTGATTAGGAAAATGGCGTGAGCGCTTTTTTTGAGAGCCTCTCCAATAAGGAGAAAAAATTTTTGAACGTTGACAAGAAGTGACAGTGTGCAACAAGGCAAGGATGAGCGTTGGTTTTTCTTCAAACAGTATCCTTTGTTTGGTGCTAGGCATTGCCTTCATTGGCTTGTTGGGCTCATGTAAGATTGCTCTATCAGAGAATAAAGTATCAGCTGCAGTTCAGTGCTTGTCTTGTGTATACTTCCGTCCTCCCCGTCTACATGTGCGCTGTAGCCTTTCATGCTACAAGCGCTACAAGTGCAGCTTGAGCCTCTAGTGAAACATGCTGAGATAAAGGTCTGTGGCAAAAACAAAAAAAAAACACAAAAAAAGAAAACTCAGGTTTGCTCGAATCTATTGGGACTCGGGAGTGGGAGCGTCGCGTGCTTAGTTTCTATGAAGGCGGTTGTACGTTTGGCCCAGAAATCTGGGCCAAACGAAGTCAGTCAGGACCATACAAAGTCAGGACCAAAGTCAGGACCATACCGGGTCTTACTCAGAGCAATCTTTCAACGCCTCGAATCGTTCTGTAAGGCTGTTGACTTATCTCGGATGACATGATTACAGTTCAACAGGCATGTATAGATGTATCTGAACTATAGTACGATCACGGTATATTCCTCGTGCATGCGCACTTCGCAACAAAGCGCGAAAGCTGACGGCTTCAAGTAAGCGTGTTGAATGGACTGCTTCTCAATGTTTGGCGCGCTGCTACGTGTGTGACGTGACTAACCTTTTGTCGGGTAATGTCCCCGAATTTCCGCCTGGCTAAACTTTCGCTTAACTGTTCTACTAATTACTTCGAAAGAACTGCTTAGGCTTTCACATCCTTTCAAGTCCCTCGCTGGCTTTCGAATTTCCAGTTAACGAGCCATAGAATCGCGCAGCCATTCGCGTAAAACTCGACAACTGATTAACTGGTGGTTTTTTTCTATTGGGAGTCATCAGTAACGTTGGTATAACCGGCCACATGTCGTGTTATTGTTCCTATATC